CAACTCTTATGATGAAAGAGAAAAGTAACCAATGAATCTCTTACTCAAACTCAAGACATTTGCTGTAAAGCCTTTTCCAGGAATGTTTGAGACTACCTGCCTGAGAATCCAGGGAGGGAAGCAATTGCAAGTAAGACCCCTGTCTCCCTCCTGTTAGCATGTGCAGTTCGGCTTAACTTTGACTGAAACGTACAAAGAGCAGTGTCATGCATGAAAGCTCTGGCTCCTGTTGCAGTCAGTAGCAAGCTGGGCTGTCATGATGCCACCACCTGTCTCCCGCTTTGCTATTGGACTGTCACTGGACCATGGAAACTTGATTGCCTGGTTCTGTGGTATGGCAGATTCAGTGTGGCAAGCCCAGGAAGGACAGCTACTTTGGCCAACATCCATATCCACTGCTCCCATCTTCTTTTATCCCATGTGTCCTGGTTAGTTTTATAGCAGTGTGACACAAACTCAAATGAATGTGTAAGAAGGACCACGCTTAAGTGAGAAAATACCTCTAAGACTGGCCTGCAGGCATGTCTTTTGGCTTTGGTTAATGATGGATGTGGGATGACACAGCTCATTGTGGGTGGTGCCAACCTTGGGCGGGTAGGCCCAAATCATAAGATGAGCAAGCCATGAAGAACTCCTCCATGGCCTCTGCGTCAGTTACTGCCTTAAGGTTCCTGTCCTGTTTGAGTTCCTGCCCTAATTCCCGTGAAGGATGAACAAGCTATACAATGAAGTAAATACACCCTTTCTTCCCAAGTTGCCTTTGCTCATGGTATTTTCACCACAGCAGTAGAAAGCTAAATAAGGCACCGTGGCTATTGTCTTGGTGAAGCCAGTGTACCTGTAGGATTCAACTCAGTTACAGATGACAGAAAACTTCAATAACAATGATGTAAGCAAGATGGAAGAATGAAAAGAAATCTCAGTAGTGTGAAAATTCTATCACCATATTTAAGCACTTTCTTGGAAGTCCCGGAAGAACTCCTGTTCATATCTTCTCATGTGTTGTGCAACACACCAGAGTTCACACAGCTAAAGAGGCATAGATTAGTGAAATGCTACTGCAAGCCAATAATGTTGCAGAACTGATAAAAGCCAAAAGAAGGAAGCAAAGATTTTCCTGAAGGCTTCATAGGGTATTGGGCTCTGCTAATACCTTGATCATAGAGTTTTGTCCTCTAGCCCTTGTAGGCAATAAAACGATGCTGTTTCAAGCTTCTATACCTCCTGGGCCCCTGTAAATACATAGGTATCCCAATGGTCATGTGTATCTGGAACAGGGACAGCAATGCCATGCTTTTCAGCCAATCTTTACTGGAAGGGAGAGCAGAAGAACAGGCCGTGGGTGGACCACTGCAGCCTCTGCCACAGAAGCCTTCAGCTGAAGTTCTACTCACCTTCTGGTGGCTTATGAGAAGTACAAGTGTTGGGTCTTTCCCTCAGGACAGAATCTATTCTCGTCCTTGCTTGGTTTGTGAACTCTGTGCTCATTTCCAGGCCTTCCTGACACCCAGCATACTCTGTCAAAGAAACATGGCTGACCTACAATTCTTGTGGTTTATATTCATGGCCTTCAAATGATTCATGGTCAGCAAGATGGTAGACTCTTTCCATGCCTCATTCTGGCTGTCAGCCTTGTGTACCAACTTAGCATCATGGAAACACAGATGACCTGAGCTATCATCCGCCTGCCTCTGATTTGTGCTGAACATAAATTTTCCCTAAGGCCCAAACCCAAGAAGATCTTCCAGACACCCTGAGCTGTGCTTTTGACCTGTGACTACTCTTAGGCTAAATGGGAAATGACATGTGATAATATCAAGTAGACTTTGATAGGATAGTACAGATTTTAAGGCAAATCCACATGGATGTCCATTTTGACATCTAGAAACTCAGAATATGGTTGTTTGAATGAGGAGTTTGCTTTCCTACATTGAAATAAGATTTAAGTGTATTTGCCATGGAAAATCTACAGATACTGGCTACAACAGTTCCTCCAATTCATTAAAATACACCTTACCCTGGGCGCGACATAGAAGGTGGCAACTTTGTATTAACACATACTCCAAATAGTTGGGATACAGCCTGTTAGTTGGTGGGTAGTGTATTATCCAATGAAACCATTAACTTTGCTTATCCTAGGGACATTTCCATGTCTGAATCAGTTCTGGATTCTAGAACATAAATTCACCCTGGTGAATTTAGTGCGTGGTATAGGTAGCTTCCTGGTGTGCTATGGACAGCTTCCTGGTACTTACAGTGCCTTTTCACTCTGTCTCACATATTCTACATGATAGGAAACCTAAGACTTCCCCAACCTCTTTTGTAAAGGGACAGATCCACTTAATAAGAGTTTCTGATCATTTCTCATGGCTCCGCTTTCTGGGACTGTAATCTTAAGGGCCAGAGTTTCAGGATATGAATTATGGGGACACAATAATTTGGAGTGTAGCATTACATCTACTTAGCACAACTAGCAGGGGACACATTTTTAAACACTACACCGATTTTCTTTTCATTTTGATTTGTTTCTTTTTAATCTTACAAACTGATTTGACAGGGATTTTCCCCAACCCCACGGCCATCTCAGCAAAGAAAATAAATTTACAAGTGGAACAACTTAGACTACTGCTTATTGGAGGCAGGAATGGCCTGGGCAGGGGCAAAGGAAGAACTCAGAGATATGATGGGGAGGGGGACGCTCTACTGCAAAACTACCAGACATAGCTTCTGAAGTGCAGCTTGCCAGAACTTGCCTGCTGGGCAGGGGTGGATGATGTGCAGCTTTGGTCTGTGAACATGTCAGGTGCAATTGAAACTGCATTAAAATGCAGCATCAGCTGGGTTACAGGTGCTTTGTGTGGTATTTATTTAATTTTAGAGCTACTCTGAGCAGGGAGGTTTCTGGTCTGACCTTATAGACCTGACAGCTAGGATTCTTTTCACAGGAACTGTTGGAAATTCTAGGTGCTTGTGAGACATAAAATGAGTTTTCCAATCTATATTTGTCCATCTGCAAAGACATTGGATTTAAGAATAAAATCTACAGGAGAGAAAAGGAGAGTAGAAGCAGTTTGCTCTCAGGGAGTTCCAGCAGAGAGTCTGAGCACCAGGGACAGCTTTGTCTCTCTCACTTGAAAACTGAGAACAACCTAGTAGAATTTTGTTTGTGGTCTGTGTCTGTCATAAGAGGTCTGGGCAGCTGCTGTGATAAACATCTCCCAGAACTTAGATAGTGTTAAGTACTTAGATTTATTTACTCCTCACATGGTCATTGTGGGTTTGCAGGAAGGCTGCGTAACCTATTTAGGGGTTTTGCAATGCAATGTTGCTACTCTATAAATTTGTCCATTGCTGTGAGTAGGGGGGAAAAAGAGTTCTTGGGAACTGCCTTGAAATAGCAAACACATTCTTCTGTCTAGAGGTGACAGTGGCTATTTCTGTTTGGACATTGTCCCTACCTGTATTGACTAGTGAATCAGAAACAATGCATTATGGGCCAAGAGGCAATAAAGACAACTTATGACTATCACAGAGCCCCTGCCAATTCATTCTGATTTTCGAAAGCAGTACATTCAGACATTATTTATCTTGATTATTGAGCTTTATGGCATTCCAATAAATTTATCAGGCAAGGCTCATTTTTGGAACAAATAGAGGGGGAATAAAAAATATCAGGTTTTTGTGTTAGAGTCCTGGAGAAGAACAAACCATGCAAAGTCAAGGATGCAGCTGACATATGCATAAATATCCACAGAGAAAGAAGCCATGAGGAAGTCAGGAAAGAGCAGGGAAGATGCCAATTTGGGTTGAATGTTCCAGATTCCTTGGTGTCGAAGCTCTGGTTCTTTATTTTGTCAGTATATCCTACAGGAAATGTTGTGTGTGCAATTTCCTCAGTGACCTCCCAAGTACATTATAGAGACAATTAAAAGCGTATCCCAGAACCACAGATTTCCAGTGATGGGATGGAGGTTAATCAGTTTGAATTGAGTGGACAGCTCATTCAAGTGAAATCAATTGGAATCCTTATAAACAAAAGTAGAAATTTTTGCCGCTATGCTTTTCTTCTTTGGAATGGTGTTTGCAAGTGTGTCTGTGTGTGTGTTTGTGTATGTAAAGTTGTATCCATGGAAGCTTCTGTAAGGTGCCAAAGAAATTGATTTTGGTAAAGATCCAGGATAGTTTTCATTTATCGAACTGTAAACATACAGCAATTTAACTTACTCTGATAGATGATATGATTTTTTCTTTTAACCAGTATCTCCCAAATTTTGTACTTCTGTGAGTTTCATGTGGGTGTAAATCTAAAAAATTGACCCAGATTCTCTCTCAGCAGCAGGCTGATCTCTCTCTCTCTTTTCTTCCTTTTCCTTTTGGTCTACATGTCTTGTGAAATACCTGTGAGCTTGCCTGACAAAGTGGAAAAAACTTTGAAGACTGGGATTATTTGCCAGCTGTGTTTCTGCATAGGATACAAGTGAAATGTAACCCATGTGTGGTTCGAAACGAAGATTATCTTCTTGCCTGTGGCACTGGTTTACTGTTTGGCATAAGCTCCAACATCCACTTATCATCCCAACGATAGCTGTGTTTTCTATTTGAGTATCCATGGCAATTAGGAAAACTTGAGGTTTCTGAGAAACACTTTGTATAAAGCTCTTGACAAGATGAAATGTGTTATGCTGCGAAGAACACAGACTGCACCATGGCTGAGAGTCACGGTGCTAACATTACTCATTGTCATCTAGTGGGTTCACTTCCCGACCGCTTTCCAGGAGATAATTAGGATCTGGGAGTGATGTATTAATATCGGTTACCTAGGATTCGACCCACTAACGGGAACACAGCTGACACCAGGGAAAGACTCATTAAACAGATAATGGGAAGCTCTTCTCTCAGGCAGATGCTCAAGGTAAACAAAGAATGGGAAAGGACAGAGTTTACTTTTGGGTTAGCAGCAATCAAAGAACGTGTCACTAACACCTGGGCTGGGTTTGAAGCATAAGAAGGAGTCCATCTGGTTGATAAGGGGCAATGTGAGGAAGGAAAATGAAGGCAGGTGGACCTCAGGGAACATGGGGCATGAATGGAAGGCATGAGTGGATGTCCCAGCCCAGTACACTTGTCTAGCCTGTCGCCACCTCTCTCCCATCTCCCAGGTAAGGCTACCTGTGACTTTGGAGGATGCTCTCCTGGCACTGTATCCCCTCCCCAGGACCATAAACCAAAACGGCAGTGCCTGCATATATTTAACTATGTTTTTCTCTCTCTCAAGAGCAGCTGTTGTTTTACAAGGCAAGAGGTTCCTTTGCTCAGAGCTGAGCCTGATCTCACCTGGTATTATGCCCTTTGTTTTAGTCTGTTTTGCTTATTCCTTTAAAATCTCTAGGGGGTTCTTCCTGGTGGATCCCTTTGGGTCCTATCTCTGCTAGGGGTTGGGGAAGCCTTCCTGAGTGCTTATCAAAACAATGATGTTGGTAGAGTTGGGGGGAGCAGAACATTGAGAAACTGTAAACAAAGTGAAGTTACTTTGGGCACCAGACACAAAATGCTTTGTGTGTTATAAAATAATTCACTGTGTTAAACAGTTAGTTAGGTGTAAAGCAAGGAGAGAAAGATGGCAAAGGAAAGCCAAGGAGGGCAAAAGGGTAGGAAGATGTTAGAGTTATTGCTACAGCAAATCCTCGGGCTGAGAGTTAGTGCTGAAGCACTAAATGGCTCCCAGCCACCATAAAATCTACATTCATTGGGGGGATAGCACATTGTGTAGCAACAGCTATATAAAGAATATTTGTCCAAACTCCAGGCTTTCTTAATATTCAGACACAGCCAGGTAGTGATCACATCCATTTTGAGTATGCAGTTTTCACAACAGAGTCAAGAACACACCCTTCCTTTTGCTCAGTGCTTAGGGGTGTATTTCTTGATGTTTAAAGTTGACTTAAGTTCTTATGAATTTATCTGCACCACTAGAAACTCACTTTTAACTTACGTACCCACCCTGTGGGTGTGAATATGGACACAAAGTTCTCAGGTTTGTGGGACACATCTATCATTTTGGCTCTTTGGCTGAGAGCTTCAGCTGAACCCCTTGGAGTACCCCCAGAGCATCATGTATCAGTACTGAGTACTGCTGCAGGGCTACATGCAGAGTCCTTCATATCACCCCTTTCCTCAGCAGCTTCTCTTTGTGGTTGCCTCACCATTTGCCCAGAGCCTTCTGTGGGAAGGTAGCTCAGTCAACCAGAGATCCTCACTGTGGCATCTTCCAACAGGTCAGGGATGTTCTGGTACCCAAGGAATGTGCTTGAGAGAATTCTCAGGATAGCATCCACTGACAGCATGTTGTCTACTTTCATTGGACACCATCCCTTAACCCAGACTCCAAAGCCCATAGGAATAGGCCCTGTGATAATTTGATGGTCTTTGCTGCAGAGCTGCAAAACCCAGCACAGGTGATTCTTCTGTTATTTGGATAATTTGGAGGAATGGTTAGCAAAATCATTGATCCATTTTTGGTTAACCTGTGTAGAAACTCACTTTTAGTGAGATTAGTAAACTCCCCTGGCTTGTTATATTAACAATTATCATCAAGTTTCCCCATGAATCCTTTACCTTACTTCCATTCTTTCATTTTTTTTTCCCTTGTCCTCCACCTGGAACTTGACTATAGCATGGTATTTTATCTGAGGTTCAATTCAGAAGTAAACATAAATTCAGAAGTAAACATTAAAAAGCCGGTCCTTAGCCAAACCCTAAATACTCTTCTATAAAAGCCATTCTATGTCAAGTCTTGTCTAATGGACACAAGAGTACTAAGGGCTCTCAGTTCTGAAGAGAGCAAGTTCTACTTCCCAGTGGCCATTTGTGTTTCATTGTTGAGCAGGAAAAATGTCACGGGTCTATTTGCTTAGGTGCAAAGAACAAATGTCCACGCCTCTCATACCTGGAGGCAGAAAGGAGAATGGCAGTGAGAGGGCAGAGAACGCAGAACACAAGTAACGTAGTAAGAGTTCATGAAAGAGTTTCCCTGCCATTATTGTCAGGAAACCTTGGATAAACAGAGAGTTCAAGTCTGGGAAAAGGACAATTTGAATCTTTCAAATGGTCGATGCATCCAAAGAAGAGTAATTTTAAGAGTTTACAGTAGCTTAGTTTATTTATATTAGAAAATTTTGCCAGTTACATTTCATCAGTGTTTAATAAAAATGATAACAAGACAAAGAGATCTCAGTCTGTACATAGGTAATTTTAGTTACTAGAAAATAACCTCACCAGGATCCACATTTAATGATGATCCATTCTCATAGACTTTGGCCAGAGTTTGACCTGGAATCATAGCATGCACATAATGATTTTTGAATGTGTGTTGGGTTGTTTCTCATGCAGAGGAATTGTATACAGCAACAGAGTCCAATCTCTGAATCCTGAAACTTGACATCTAAAGTTGAGTAAGTGTCAGTGGGAAGGAAATGAGCTGTGCAAATAAAATCTCTATCTTGACAAATAAGTAGTATGACCTGGCAGGTGGCTGTTCATGGTTAGTGGGACCTACCTGAGGGACCAAGTGCCTTCTGTACATGGCAATGCAATGTATAGAGTCCATTTTGTCTTCTCAGTGTTTGAAAATTTTTTAAGTTAGCTTCTTACCATTGCTATAGAAAATTGCCACAACTGTTGCCTTAAAGTATCACAGATTTCTTTTACAGTTTCGGGGCCCAGAAGTCTGAAATGGTCTTCTTTGAGCTAAAATAAGAGCCATATTACTTATGGTGGTTACAGGGGAAAGATCCCTTTGGTGCCTTTTCAGCTTCTAGCGACCCCTTAAGTACCCTGGCTTATGCCCCCATCTTTCATCTTCAGGTATACTGTTCTAGTCTCTGCCCCATGATTATATCACCTTATCTGTCTGCTCTCCTTAATTAATACATCTGCAGTTACTGTGGCTACATGAGGTTATATGATTCAAAGATTAGCATGTAGGGTTGGAAAGATGGCAGACAGTTAAAAACACTTGCTGTTCTTGCAGAGAACCTGGGTTCAGCTTCCGCCACCTACTTGGTGTTTCACAACCATCTGTAATTCCATTTCTAGGAGATCCAATGCCCTCTTTTGGCTTCCATGGCCACCTGCATGTACATGGTACAAATACATACAGGCAAGACACTCATATAAATAAAATAAAAGTAATTATTAAACAACACCAAGTATTTAGATTATTTTTAAGGTTTAATTTTTTATTATAGTGTAATTTATTTTATATGTTTTTTTTCTTTCTTTGGCAATTTATGGCTTCAGAGGGAGGGAGAGTGAGGATGTAACCCCTGGTATGCTGCTCACATTCTGGTGGATGCCCGCACCCCTGCACAGATGCACTAATTAAACCTAGTTAGTGCAAAGGTTAGAAAACTGTGAAGGAGCCTGATGTGGTGGTTCACAAGGAGTTTCAGGGGAGGGAGGATTGAATATGATTAAAATCCATTGTATTCATATATGGAATTCTCAAAGAATAATAAATACATGCTAAAGAGACTTTATAAATTGGAGAAGGCAAAGGCACCCCAAAGACTCATTTATATGGATTGGCAGATATTAAACATAAGTTGTTTTGTAAACAAAGTAAGTTCATATTCAATGGTATTATATTCAACTTCTGATTTCTCTGACTGTAGAAATTTTTGTCAAGTTAAGATGAGCTTTAAAAAAATTACTGATTAATATTTTGTCTGAGACAACTGTAAAATCCAGGTAGATAGAAATATAGATAGAAACCTGAGAAAAACATAGAGCTCAAATAAATGTTTAAGATCTAAAAATAAAAAAAAAAACTGAAAACAACAAAAAAACCCAAATCTACATAAATTTACCCATTAGCCATTATTGTATGAGAGTTCTGGTTGCCACAGGTTCTTGTCAACACATGATATTGTCAGATTTTTTTCACTTTAGGAAAGTTCCACCTTCAGCACCCAATCCCCTACCAAAGCCCATACCTCCCAATTCTATCATATTCTATCAAATTCTCTTTAGCCATTTTGAAGAACACACATCTCATCCTACCCGTAGTTTACATCTCTCTGCTTTTACTGATGAGCTTTCATAATTCTGTATGTCCATTGGATGTTTGCTTTTCCTCTTAATTAATGAGCTGCCAACTTAGGCATTTTTTTTTCTTGTTCCTTTGGCTTGTTTAGATTACTGATTTGAAGACATTTTTCAAGAATTCTGGATACAGCTCCTTTATCAGAATGCAAGTGAACATACAGTTTTCAAATTCACATTGTGAAATCCCAGTCCCTCGTGTAAGAGCATTTGGAGGTGGGGTGCTTTGGGAAGGGATTGGGTGCTGAAGGTGGAACCTTCCTAAAGGTGAGTTGTAGCAGTACAGACACCCAGAGAGCTCTGTGGGATTTCTGCCACAGAGAATGGAATAAACAAAAGGCTGTCCTCATGAGGCAGCGTCTTCAGGCATCTTGGACTTCTCAACCTTCAGAACTTTGAGGAGTGAATGTCTACTGGTTATAAACCACTTAGTCTATGTAATTATGCTATAACATTCCAAACTGACTTATATGCCCCAACTCTCTCTCTCTCTCTCTCTCTCTCTCTCAATGTCTCCACAGTTAAAACTACTGGGTGCTCTTCCAGAGGTCCTCAGTTCAATTCCCAACAACCACATGCTGGCTCATGACCATCTAGAAAGGGATCTGATGCCCTCTTCCAGCATATAGGTATACATGCACACAAAGTGTCCCTATATTTGAAAAAATACATAAATATATAAATTTAAACTAATGTTGGGAATCATCAAATCCAGGTCCTCAAACTAGGCAACCTCTACCATTAACTTCTTTACTCTTGCCCCAATAGTTTTCCTTTAATGAAAATATTTTGAAAATTTTTTTGTTTCCTTCAGAAGATGAGGGACTTTAGTTCATCCTAATTATATCCTATTTTGTTTCCAGGTTTCAAAAAGAAAACAAATCCAGCAATGTCTTTGGGGTGCATGCCCTCTGATAGCTTCTGTTGGAGGGAAATGAGAAGTAGGCCTGGGATAGTCCCAGCTTTCCACTGACTGTCTACTGTCTCAAATTCACTTTTCTTCTTGGAGGACTCAGTGTGATTCAACACACTAGGATTAACATACTCTCAATACTTC